ATCTCTGTCTTCCTCCCTGTCCCAAGTCAGAGAGGGTCGTGGCCTTGCTGTGTCCTTCTCACCGTCCCGTCTGAAGCTGAGTAGCTTCGACCACCAAATCCCCTGCAGTTCTTCCCCACCCCCGCCCCCACTGCGGCGCATCTTCATGCAAAGGAAAATGTGTCCAGCTTGAGGTTGTAATTGAAGGGCTCCTGGGCCGAGTTTGGGGAGAACTCCGGGTGTTGGGAGAACACCCGGAGAAAGGGGCCTGAGTCAGCTGGCAGCCATCTCAGGAGTTCTGCCTGGTGCCAGGGACAGAAGGGTTGGGCTGAGCTAAGAAGCCCCCCTGTGCGGCTCCAGAGGGAGCCTTGGTGGGGAGGGTGGGGTCTGACAGTCCTCCCCCCTGCTCTCCCCACCGACAGAACCTGCTCAGGCGCTGCCACGGCTCCCAGGCCAGCTACCTCTTCCAGCAGGACAAGTTCTATGACGTGGCTCTGGACACCGGAGACAAGGTGGTGCAGTGCGGCCGCCGTGTGGACTGTCTGAAGCTGTGGCTCATGTGGAAGGCTCAGGGCGGGCAGGGGCTGGAGCGGCGTGTGGACCGGGCCTTTGCCCTTGCCTGGTAGGAGTGGTGGCGGTCTGGGTTCCTCTCTCCTGGGGTCCCTGTCCAGTCCTGTCCTGTCCCACCCCTGCTCCCACGCCTTCACCCCTGCACCTCACATTTTTCTTGCCCTCAGGGTCTCTTGGCCCATTCTCTGGGTCTCTTCTGTTCCTGTATCTCTGCTTTTTTCCTCCTCCATTTGTGATTTCTTCCTCTCTGTTTCCAGGTACCTGGTGGAGGAATTGAAAAAGCGAGAAGGATTTGAGTTGGTTATAGAGGTATGACCAAGTCTGCTCTTTGGCATCCCTCTGCCCCTCCCCCCCCGCCCTCCCCCCCTCAGTCTGTCCCACACAAAAAGCCCTGATGCAGAAGAGGGGCAGTGAGAGGGGATCATCACCCCTTCCACAGCCCACACCTTCTCCTCCCTCATTCCTCCCAGCCTGAGTTTGTCAACGTGTGTTTCTGGTTCGTGCCCCCCAGCCTGCGGGGGAAGCAGGAGAACCCAGATTACAGTGAAAGGCTGGCTAAGGTAGGTTCTCTCTTTTCTGGCTCTGGTTAGCCCAGTTGAGGGAATGGTGAGGCATCTGGTGTGTGTCTGCCCCCTGCTGGCTGTGAATGGCATAGCAGGTCCCTTTGCTAGTTTGCTCCTGAGGTGGGGACGTGAACTGTAAAAGGGCACCAGCTTGTCCTCATTTCTGTGGGGGTGGGGATGGGGAATAAGGTATGTTTTTGGAAGGCAAAAGGAAGACAGAGAGAGATGTTCTGGGAGAAGTCACCAGTGTGCGGTACGTAGTCTGTGGGAGTTCTGCTGGGTGCTCAGGCCCAGGACAGACGCTTGAGGCCTTATTCACTGATGCTGGGGGCAGAACAACTCTATAAGGCCAGTCCAGACAGGCCTCCTAGAGGAAAAGAGATATGTCATGTCCTGGTCCCTAAGGATAGATTGGTACTAGATGCTGCAGATGGTCTGAAAGGACAAGAATGTTCTTGCCTTTGAGGAGTTATTTCGAAAATTAGAGTTACCTATTTGAAACCAATATGTTTGATGCAATCTTGTAAATTACACAGTAGATCACGAGGTACAGATCGCAACCATTCCGGGAATTCAGAGAGAAGAGAAGAAGGTGTTAAAGACGATGAAGGCTAGATGTTGGACTAAAGCAGTGTTGGGAGTCAGGGAACAATCAGGATTTGGCAGAAAATGGCCTGTGTGACAACTTGGAGATAGGTAAGGTAGGAAATGATACAGAAGCTAGAGAAGACCAAGGAGGTTGGATGCAGTGGAAGAGGTGAACTGGGGCCAAGGTCAGGAGCTGAGCAATGAGGACTCCCTCTGGAAGGTGGTTGAGTGAGAGGGAAAGACATCTCAGGGAGCCTGACCTGAGGCTGTAGCTGGAAGTTCCCTTCACCCCTTCCACAGGTGGCCCCAGTACTCAAGGAGCGCATGGTGAAGGAGGGCTCCATGATGATTGGCTACCAGCCCCATGGGACCCGGGGCAACTTCTTCCGTATGGTTGTGGCCAACCCTGCACTGACCCGGGCCGATATGGACTTCCTTCTCAATGAGCTGGAACGGCTAGGCCAGGACCTCTGAGCCTCCTCCTTACTGCTGGCCTCGACACCCCCCTCACCCTCACTGTCTGTGTGTATTCCCTTCCTGTGTTATCAAGAGCAGAGTGATCTTAACAATGTTTATATGTGTTGACCCACTGACTCTTCTATGAAATATTTGCTTTTGGGATGCCTGGGTGGCTCAGCCAGTTAAGCATCTGACTCTTGATTTTGGCTCAGGTCATGATCTCATGGTTTATGAGTTTGAGCCCCGCACTGGGCTCCACGCGGACAGTGCGGAGCCTTCTTGGGATTCTCTCTCTCCCTCTCTCTCTCTCTGCCCCTCCCCTGCTCATGCTCTTTCTCTCAAAATAAATAAACAAAATATATATATATGTATTAGAAGACTATTTAAACTACAGTACATCCACATGACAGAATGTTACTCTGTTGCTAAAATTATGTTTACAAACGATTTTTATTGATACGAGAAAAAATGATTTTAATTTAATGTTATATTGAAAAAGCTGGATACAGGACTTTATATATAGTGATAGCTGAGCTATGTTCAAACACACATAGGGAAAAAACTGATAAAATAAAAAATGCCAAATGTTAATAGTTTTCCCTGGGATGGGATTATAGGTAATTTATGATTAAATTCTTTATACCTTTTGTGCTCCCCCCTTTTATTATATAATGAATATGCATTACTTTTATAATAGGGAAATAATAAAGTTAAACTTCAACTATATTTTTTGGTATGTTTTGAAGTTTGTTACTTTTCAACCAGATAATAGAGAATGGGAATTTTTTTTCTAAAGGCAGGTGTAAGAGGGGTGCCTGGGTGGCTCAGTCGGCTAAGCGTCCAACTTCAGC